TTTGTTTTTTAAATATATTTTCTTCATATTTTTTTTTATATATTATTACGTTTTTTTCTTCTTCTTCTTTTGTTTGTTTTAATTAATTAAGATGAAAAAATGGCAGTGATTTTCATTTAGTTTTCCTATCTCTCTCTTGCATCCGCATCGAAACGCTCTGCACACCAAATTTCCATTTCAAAAATAATAATAATTATTAATTAAAAAAAATAATAATTATCAACAGAAAGAAAATATCAAGAAAATTGCGAAAGAAAGACACGACAAACATTTTTCATTCAAGTTTTCGTTAGATTCTTCAATAATTACTAATAATTATTAATCGATTTGTTAAAGCTAGGAAATACCCTAAACGTTTCACTTCTTCTTTTTGTTTTAATTACATTACATATATTTATTTTTGTTATGTTGTTTTTTTTTGTTATTTGAACTTATTTTTGCTTTTGTTTATTTATATTTTTTTTTTCCATCATCAACATCATCATCTTCGGCGTTAGGAAAATAGACTTATCAATTATTATCAAATTCTTTCGACGAGCGTTTCTAAAATTGTCTCTTTCTAAATTCACCTTTTTGTCATTAATTAATTATTATTTTTTGTTATGTTTTTATTTCATTTTGTTTATTTTTTTTTTACTTTTAATATCCAAAAATAGTTGCTTCTTTCTTTTTGCGATCGTTATGAACGTAGCCGAGAACTAGATCTAATAATTGAAACGGAAAAAACCCTTCACTTTTTATAGGTGCGTACACACTCTTCGGTTCGATTACGAACGTCGTCAATCGTAAAAATCAAATCAAATTCAGCCTTGCCGTATTCATTGCGTTTCTATGGAAACATTGTGGTGACGCGTTCAATTGGTCCATATCATGCGAGACAAATGATATGCGAAATAAACCAATCGCGTAATTCCTGTTACTGTGGTTGACAGGTGAAGTGAACGCGCGCGTGTGTTTGGGTTTGCTGTTGTTCTCTCGTGAGGATGCACGAGTTTCCAACGAATGCGGGTATCATGTAAGTAATCAATTGCATAATTTTCCCCTTTCATTTCCATTATTTGCGATGTAATAAGTTTCATTAGTTGTGGATGAAATTGTGGAAACGGTTTTTGGCATAATTGGAAACGACGCGTCCGTTTGTTTCTTTTTTATTCACGCCTACTCTGATCAAAAACGATGGGGTGAATGAAGGCTTTCCGATTTCAGCTCAGGTGAGTTTCGTTATATTCAAATATGCTATGTTTCTAATTGTGTTTTTTTTTTAGAAATTTAAATGCTTCATTTTGTGGTTGGCGCGCCAGAAAATTAATTGATAGGTGATGAAGACAGTGTGAGACCTATTTACGTTTCCTGAACGGCGGCGAATGGAATCCGTTCATCTCGGGCGGAGGTAAGAGCGGGAACTCTTGCTGATAGGATGGTCCTGGATAGCAGTTCCACCAGAGCGGGGCCGGTACGTACGGCGGCGGCTGCTGCACGTAGGCCGGATTCGTGTAGGTGGTGGGCGGAGGGCGCATCGTCAAGAAGGGCGGCGGAGCGTGTTGATGTTGCTGCTGCTGATGATGTAGATGTTGAAGAGGAGGAGGAGGAGGATGATTGTTGTGATGGGCATGACGTGGAGGCGGTCTGCGCCCCCACATTAGTTGCTAGCAACGCTGGCTGTTCCAGTGGTTCATGTAGTCCTGATAAGAGATGGTAATCTTCTCGCTCTGATAGCGCGTCAGCTTGATGCTCTTCCTCATCTCGGCGGAGATCATGGCCTTGTAGCCGCCCTTGCGTAGGAGCGAGTCTATAGTCTGTATTTGATCCCAACCTGTAAGCACACGCACACCACCTTTTTGTAGAGAGAACGAAATTTTGATCTTGATTACGGATTATTCTCGACCTTGCTCTGGGGCTACCTCCGGCAGGTAAGTGGCAGTGCGTTTGTTACCCTTTTCGTTAATGAACTCGATGCGGATGCCGTGAATGCCGACCTCCCAGTCCAGGTAGTCGCCCGCCTCCTCGAAGTGCCTCAGTATGGAGACGGAGACGCTGAGCTTCGGGAATTCGTCCCTGGTGATCGGATTGAAGCGGGAGTCCTTGAAGGCGCTCGTGATCGCGTACTCCCGCAGACCCATCTGCAAGTTCATCGCGTTGAACGTGCCGATGCAGCCCCTCAGACGCTTGTCCTTTCCGATCTTCCAGGTGACGAACAGCGGACTGCAAAAAACCCAACGCGGGGTGTAAAAGAAACGGGCATTAGTTGCGTAAGAACGTCTCGTCTTCAACAAAATCCGAGCAAGTGCAATCACACTCAAACAACCTTTTTTGAACTCGCAACTTTCATTCTAATCAATTGTCCAACGAAACTGCAGTTAAACCGGATCTGCAATTGTCAAGTACATTGTTTTTGTGTGTGTGTGTTTTCTTCCCAGCTTGTTTAAACCAAACTCTTTCAGATGCACTACTTTTTTATTTTATTTATTCAAGCACACTTATCTGCAAACCAATTGGGAAATATTAATCTAGATATAAATTACATGTTGATTGTGTTAACAAAAAAAAATAACTAAACCATGGTCGCGTCTTACTACAATCAATACCACTCATCAAAAATTCAATCCAATTTATTCTTCAATTGACTATACTCTTTGCACGAGTCTCCAAATCATATTATTAACTAAATTCTAATTTAAAAGAACACTTTCATCATTATTTTTTTTTCTTTGATCTTTGAATATAAAGAAATTGCAACAGTCTATTAAACGTAGAAAATTTTCATCATCAACTTTACATAGACTTTTTTCTTTGACCTTTGATTATAATCTATTTTTGAATGTATTCGAGTCGCGACTTTCAAAATAAACTGAATTTTATCATTAGCTTTAAGAAACGAGTTCTGTTCTCTTTATATTTCTCAAAATTCGAATTACCTTGAGAATTTAAACAATCGCGCTATTGTTTGCGAACAATTTAATCTGCAAATATTTATTGTTTTGTCTGTCTGTATTTGTTTTGCTCTTCTGTATAAGTTAAGCTTGGGAATCATAAAAATAGCTACTGCATCCCACAAATAGCTTTTGCAAATAGATGGAGAAAAAAAATATGCGTTGTTTGCTGAGTCACAGTGATGACTAGATGCTCGTGAACATTTATTAGATGCTATGAAAATTATTATAAAATATAAAAAAAGGAACCTTGGAATTATCTATTGCTTGCATGTCTGCACTTTGCAAACATGTTTGAAATACGCTTGGGTGTATATCAAGGATAATTTCATTTTCTTTTCTTTTTTTTCAAAAGATTTGAATAATTTGGTTTGATGTCAGATAGTTTGGGGTAATAAATTTAACTAGAAAAACAAAATGTAAATGAAACTGGAAATGTGGTTTTGTTGATGCAAGTATGCAAATGTTGTTATTGTTGCACGAGGAAATGGCGATATGCAACTGAATGGACGTGAACAATTGGAAAGTGAACTTGAGCAGAACCAGAACCGAAACAAAGAGACGTCGAGGAAGCGTTGGATAAAAATATTTTTTTCTCGAACAAAGGAAAGAGCGTGCAAAACAGCTGAAACAAAAATAAACGTTCGTTTGTTTCGTGGCTGTCCTCGGTATTTTGGAGCTCTCGTTCATCGAGGAGATGAACGACACTCGTTAAGCGAACAAAGGGAATTTCGACCCCCGCAGACAGTTGAATGACCTGCTCCGTCCGCGACGATCATCACCCTGGCTACCGAAATATCAGGTCATCAACCGACGTCCTCTCTTCGATGCTATGTTAATCATTTTATTTCTTGTTCTTTGTTGTTGTTGTTTGTTGTTGTAGGGAAGCAGCTGAGATGATGCTGCAAAGCTATGAACTTACTATGCGTCATTGCTGAACGACGGGGTTTTCGGTGGTTCGAGGTTATACAGTTGGCTGTAGAGGACGTCGAAGCAGAAGAAGCACATGTCGGCCTGGGCCACCATCTCCACGCCATTGGAGCACCCGTTCGTGAGGATCGAACCGTTGCACGAGGGGACGCAGATCGAATTGTTCATGTTGTTAAGTTTCTGCTTTTTCGTCCCGCAACAACCAGCGGCCATCGTACACCCAAAACTGACAGCTGACTGGCGGCGGAGGATTGGGGGCCGTTGCCTGCAGACGCTCGCTCCGCCTGGGTCCGATCCTCGCGCAGCTACCTCAACGCCACACGCTTCATCCATCTCGCATCTCTTTCCATCCTTTGGCACGACGTATGCGTCCATCGCACGACGCCCACGACGCTTCGATTCGACGCCCACAGATGGTCCGTTCCGATCAGCTGATTCATTTCACCCTCCTCGATCCTTTCGTCGCCCACCTGGACGCTCGCTTCCATCGACATCGAATTTAAATTTGTCGGATGGTAATCGCATTGCTATGGATTTAGGGCATCATTCATCGATCATGTAATATAATTACGTCCATTTGGTTGCCTGCATCAAAATCAATGTCTTCATCATTACCATAATACTACATTAAACTGAAATTTTGAAAAAATTGAAATAGTTTCTCAAATTTACAAGAAAAATACTAAATTGTACAAAATTATGAAATAGTCTAGTAAAATTTTACGCATTTCAAGTAAAAATTAACTGAAATTAAAAAAAATTGGTTCAGTTGACTCAATTTTACAAAAAAAAAAATAATTGGTCTATTGAAATTTACAAAGAAATGAAATAATATACTCAATTAGTTGCATTTTAACACAATTTTGAAATAGTTACTGAAATTTTGAAAAAATTGAAATAGTTTCTCAAATTTACAAGAAAAAAAATGAATAGTCTATTAAATTTTACAAAATTATGAAATAGTCTAGTCATACATCGATCATGTAATATAATTACGTCCATTTGGTTGCCTGCATCAAAATCAATTCTTCATCATTACCATAATACTACATTAAACTGAAATTTTGAAAAAATTGAAATAGTTTCTTAAATTTACAAGAAAAATACTAAATTGTACAAAATTATGAAATAGTCTAGTAAAATTTTACGCATTTCAAGTAAAAATTAACTGAAATTAAAAAAAATTGGTTCAGTTGACTCAATTTTACAAAAAAAAAAATAATTGGTCTATTGAAATTTACAAAGAAATGAAATAATATACTCAATTAGTTGCATTTTAACACAATTTTGAAATAGTTACTGAAATTTTGAAAAAATTGAAATAGTTTCTCAAATTTACAAGAAAAAAAAATGAATAGTCTATTAAATTTTACAAAATTATGAAATAGTCTAGTCATACATCGATCATGTAATATAATTACGTCCATTTGGTTGCCTGCATCAAAATCAATTTCTTCATCATTACCATAATACTACATTAAACAATACATTTTTAAATAATTATAAATCAGCAGAATCACAATATTAACACTGACTTTAATCTATACAAAAGAATTATTATAATTTTGCATAGAAACTCAAGAATCAGATAGTTGAGCTAAGTGCAAGTTACTACAAGACTAATTACTTTCTAAGTACAATTAATGATTTTGTCCTATAATTATAATTAACAAGTTATATTATAATCTGACAAGCACGAGTATTTGGTTGCCTACATTGCATTGTAGAAATATTTATTATCTTTATGAATTTATGTAAATTTGACAAAATTACTGTAATTTTTACTAGACTATGTATAAAATTGAGTACACTATTACTTTATTTTAATATTTAGTGAAGTAAACAATTTCAGTTTTAAAAATTATTCAAATTCTTGTAAAATTTCTATAGATAAATTTCGACTAGACCATAAACTACATCATTTTTTTTTAAGTAGCACCGTACATCACTATTGACTTTTACAATGAATCGTAGCACCGTAGAACAAAATCTTGTAACCTGATTTCACTTAACCCAAATGAAAGCAGTAATTCAAAAAAAAATCTTCAATATTTGTTTCTTTACCTAAACTAATTGTGACCGCAAATTACGTTGATTGCTTAATACTTCATAAATATACTAATTACACATAGTCCATGTTCCATACCTTTGGGTTAATTTCCCTTGTCCGAAGTGGATGGACGACCGCAAAAAAGTTTTCCTAATTTCCTTGCTATTCACCTCCTGCGGTTTTCCTACCGGCCGGTCGACCGAATTTAATTAAAACCGCGCGCGCTTTTGAAATCGACCGCCGCGATCCCGCATCGGCGCCTCCCAACAATCCCTAATTTAAACACACACACATTATATAAATATAAAGAGAATAACCCCGCATTTGACGTCCTCGTGCATCCCACGAGCGAACGTTTGCACAGGGCACATCATGATGATCAGGTGCGGCGCTCGGGATTTTCCTCAATTTTCCGGATTATCCGGATTATGCAACGTCCGACAGAGCGAAAACTGTCATATGCTTTGTTTTAATAGCATGTAATGAAGTTTTAGACTGGCAAAATGATTATGTTTTTCTTTTGTTTCTTATATAATTCACGTTTCTCTGTGAATTTTAGTAAAATATTGAAAATTACAGTAGAATATTTCAAATTTGTAATAGTACACTCAATTTTACAAAGTTTTGAAATTTATATAATTTTGAAGTAATCTAGTGCATTTTAAGACAATTTTGAAATAGTCTTCTGAAATTTTGAAAAAATTGAAATAGTTTCTCAAATTTACAAAAAAAATTGAATAGTCTACTAAATTGTACAAAATTAACTGAAATTTAAAAAAAAATTGGTTCAGTTGACTCAATTTTACAAAAAAATAAATAGGCTATTCAAATGTACAAAGAAATGAAATAGTTTTAGTGAAAGTTACATAATTTTGAAGTGTTGTAGTAAAATTTATACAAGTCTACTGAAAGTTTCAAATAATCTACTCAATTATACAAAATTATGATTTTTTTTAGTAATTTGTACATAAATTTGAAATAATCTACTGAAATTTTGAAAAAAAAGAAATAGTCTATTCAAAATAATATATAAGTTTGAAATAGTCAATAGTCAAAAAATAGCTCAATTTTACAATAAATTAAAAATTGTATAGTAAAATTTTCACAAATTTCAAGTAGTCTACTAAAATTTCAATAAATTTGAATATATTTTACAAATTTAAAATATTTTACTCAAATTTTCATGAATTTGACAAAGGCTACTCAATTTTTGCAAAAAATAGAGATATTATAGTAAAAGTAACACGAATTAGAAGAAGTCTAGTAAAATGTATATAAATTTGAAATAGTTACTCAAGTTTACAAAAAGTAAAGTAAAATTTATGTAAATTTGAACATATTCTATACAAATTTAAAATATTTTACTCAAATTTTTATGAATTTGAAAAAGTCTACTCAAATTTATAAAAAACAAATAAATAGTCTAGTAAAATTTGAAAAAATCTACTCAATTTTTACAAAAACAAGAACTAACAAGAATTTGAAGTAGTCAAGTAAAATGTGTATAAATTTGAAATAATTACTCAATTTTACAAAAATTAGAAATGGCTATACTAAAATTTAAGTAAATTTGAATATATTTTATAAAAATTTCAAATATTTTACTCAAATTTTCATGAATTTGAAAAAGTCTACTCAAATTTACAAAAAAAAAACATCTACTCACATATAATAATTGAAAAATTCTATTCAATTTTACAAAATAATACTTATAAATTTACACAATTTTGAAATAATCTACGTTGCTATGAAAATAACAAATGTCTGTCGCTGTGACAAAAATGCATACACTCTCAAACAAAAGTCTAGTTGTCTGGCAAAACAAAACCCATCCAGACGCACGAGATGGACCTTGCGTGCCCTTCTTGCAGCGAACCGTAACGAAGAGCAGCAATTACGAAACGCATTCATGAATGTTCTGTGTGTGTGCACCTTTTGCTTGCAACTCCCACCACCACGAGAACCTCAGCCGCGTTATTCCGATGGGAATTAGTTTCTAGCTACATTAAATCAGTCCACAATTAACTATAAACCGAAGAGAACCCAACCAAAAAAATTTTGTTTGTGCGATTTAATGCCTTTTCCACTTGGATACTTCGATTCTTACCAAAGTTGGATTAAATTTGAATTTTCCATCAGGTAGGCTAAAATTTCAATTTTTTTTACACGCATCACATACATTCTAAATATTTAACGTCGCCCCAACAACAACCAAGAAAAATCTCGGATGCAAAGTGATTCCATCGATTTTCCTGCCATCAATGAAATATGATCTCCACGTTCTCTCTTTTTATTTTTTTTGTCATCACTTCAGGTCTCCGCACAAAAGGTCTGAGTCTTGTATATTACATCATTAGCTACATCTAGGGTGAGAAGAGAACGAAAAGAAGAAAAAAAACCCTGCACGAATCGAACGTTTCTACATTGAATTATCTTTACATATATCACCGAAAACCTCGATTTCCCTCGACTTTCAATTACAACCGAAACCGTTACGTTACGTTTATCATAACTTCATTGCGATACATTATTATAATTACATATTTATAGAAGCAACCGTGGAACTGTTTTGAAACTATTATTCGCGCTTACGTAATTATCTCACAACTTTTTTTTTAAATTAATACACACACACACACGAAAAGATAATTCCCCCAATAAATTCCTCCATTTCTTTCACCGTTTAATTCCACCTGCACTTACGTAATGCATCCTAACTAATTACCTAGTTTCACTGCAACAACAACACACTGAACTTAATGTAAAACTAGGAAAAGAGGAAGACAAACACGGTTTTTCCATTTGCTTCTGTGCCAACTGGAGCGTTGAGTTCTCGTCGCGATTATCCAAAAAGGATTTCTAAAATGTTAAACAATAATTGATGCACCATAATTCCATATAGCATTGCGTAATTAGTTTTTAATTTTTTGTTTTTTTTGTACAAAGGAATCTCCAGAATTTGAAAACTTTCCACTTTGACGAACAGAGCAAAGTTTTTTTTTTCTTCGTGTATAAAGGAATAAATGCGGTTTTGAGGAATGATCATGTGGGTGAACGAAATGGAAGAGTTTCTCTATATTTTGCAAGCGATTTTGCTTTCGAATTCAGATGCGGTTATGCAAAGTGCGAGCGATTATTATTCACGGTGTAAAAAGTATTGTTATGATGTGTGCGTATTATCTAATTGATGATCGTGTTGTAAAGAAATAGAAATTACTCGAATTTTATTTAATGAAGTTAGTTGAATATGATGAGATCAGATGTGGTATATTGAATTAGCGATGAATAACAATGAGGGGATGGATGATGATTGTGTTACGTGTTACGGATGTTGGATGAAATACGATCGTTGGAATAGAAAAAAATGATGCGAATGGGATTGGGATGGTGAA